TTTGTTACTTTTAGCTTGGTTACTTTTAGTTCCTCAACCAGGAGCATGACTCTTGGAGCTCAGAGACCCAGCAGTCCTGAGGAGAACAGCATTGAGGGCTTTTCCTAAAAATAACACTTACTTTTAGGGTTGAAGGTACTTTTAACTTTGTTACTTTTAGCTTGGTTACTTTTAGTTCCTCAACCAGGAGCATGACTCTTGGAGCTCAGAGACCCAGCAGTCCTGAGGAGAACAGCATTGAGGGCTTTTCCTAAAAATTTATCTACTCTTTAGGCCACACAGAACCAGCTGCATGTACCAAACCCAAGAGAGAAACCCCTCCTGCTCTCATCCAGCTCCTCCACCAAAGGCACTGCCAGATGCTCACAGCTCCCCACCCTTCATGCTGTTGAGAGCCATCTTCTAACCTTTGTTGGAGTCTTCCTCAGCCACCATCCTCCTCGCATCCCCCAACCGAGCCACCCCACTTTCAGGACCCCCTCAGCAGGGCAGGAGGTGACAAATCCCCAGGGAAGCAGATCCCAGCTGCCCTGGTGGCAAACGTGCTGGTTTGTGACAACGTGGCCACTCAGCAGCAAGACTGAGCTCTGGGACACGTCTGCCCAGCACGGGGACAGGGGACCTGCCCCATCCTGCCAGGGTGAGGACAAGAGACCATTGCAACCAGTGACTGGGGGGCTGGAAACACAACCACTGCCCCACTGCCTTTTCCAGATGCTCAGTTTGCGACCAGACCCGACCCAGAGACAGCAGCTCACCAGATACTGGATTGAGTCGGACGAAGGAGGATATTATTTTGCTGGGGCCCAATTCAGCTGCTCTGTATGAGAATCATTCCCACTGTCCTCCCGGGGAGTTATTTATTCTGACAATTATGCTCTGCTTTAGGCACTTCAGCTTGCTCTCCAGTCAGAAAACAGGTTTCACCCCAGATATTGTGCCTCTTCCTACCCGTACTGGTCACTAAACGCCGATAAAAGGTGCCGTGCCATACAGAGGAGGCAGATGATTGAATATTTCTGGCAGAGCACAGCCAATGTAATTTTTAAATGTCCTTGTTTATGAGCATGGAAACCTGCAGACTTGAGGGCCAGAGGTGCTTGTGTGGCCACCGAGAGAGCTGCAGCTGTCGGGATGGCATTTGGAATATGCAGGGGGAGCTTCTGCCAGAGCTAAAAACAGAAAGCCTGGGCGGCACGAGCAAAGTGCAGGCGACCCGCACGCTGCATGTGTTCTGCCATCTCTGGCTGAGGCACGTCAAGAGAAAAGTCTCTGCTTTTAGCCATTTTCTCTGCCTCAACAACTTGACTCTGTTCCTAAGCACCAAAGGGAAAAGCCAATTGCAAGACCCACCGTCATGATGGAAAACGGAAGGAGAGATCATGATGAGCGTGATCTTCTCTGCTCTAGCAAGTAGCTTCCTTAGGGAAAGCCAGGATAAAACACCCCTCTCTGGAAGTATCTCAATTCTAGCTGGATAAAAACCCAGACCCACATCCACGGGGGAAACTCACATAAATTTTTGACATATTTTGTGGAGCTGTATCATGAGGCAGCTGGCAGGGGTTTGTTAGGACCCAGCCTGGGGGCACACCAGTACACTCCAGATATCAGGGTATGGGTCCTACCCAGGACTGGCAGACACCCAACAATGTTCACCACTCCTCAAATTACCTATAGATAAGTCTGTATAGCCCAGATTGGCACAGGTTTAAGTTACAGTGGAAAATATATTAGATATGTCAAAATATCCAAAGTTAAACCCAAGGGAATGCTGCCAGAAAGCATAGCTGTAAGATCATCCAATAAAAGGATGCCTCAAAGCATCATCTAGTAACGTCTCTGTTGCAACACTGTGGGTGAACTTTAACTTGAGGCCAGCCAGTCTCCCCACTGAAACGCTGCTGCTGGGACTCAGCGTGTGGAGAACAAGCAGGCACCTCTGCTAAGTTGCTTTCAGAAGTTAATACTGACAGATGATGGAGGACCTCTGCCAGCAACACCACTCTTGTTATGCAATAACACAGTTCAAATCACTCACACTCACCTGCAGTCCTTTTCCATCACACTTGCTCAATCCCCTTGAAGTCTACAAGCATGTACCAGCATAATTATCAGCAGAGTATTTGCCCAACAGTGACAGCAGCAGAGATAATCTGAATTTACACCAAGATACCCACGATAAGCATCTAGGCTAAAACTACTGATCTGCCTGGCTCAGTGAGAACATCAGAACTTCAGTGGAACAGTAAGTAACGGCAGGAGAAAGGTGAAATGTGTCCAAACATTGCCCTCATGTAAACCCGCACCGCTGCTCTGAAGCCAGAGGAATTGTGCCAACCCAATTTGGGGCTTGCAGCAGTGTTCTATCAAAGATGGAGACAGCCCAGCAACTGCTGATCTCAGACAGGTTCGGTTAAGTTTAAGCAGCCAGACTTGGCTGAGTCTACTGGTGAGTCCAGTTTCAGACAGGTTTGACTAAGTGCAATCAGCCAAACTTGGCTGAGTCTATCAGTATTTACCACCCACTTGGAGACCTCAGTGGTGAGAAGACAGGAGGGAGGGCTTGGGGAGCCTCCCAGTGCACACAGTCCCTCCACTGATCCTGAACCACAGGCAGACTGTGATAGCTTCTGGTAATGACACCTCTGTGGGACTGAAACCTCCCCAAGTCTCTCCTCTGTTCACAGATGATTACTTTTAATGTGCAATCACGTTAATTGCACTTCACTGAGGATTTCTTAGAGTAAGAGCTTCGACTATTACCAGCATTGAGCACCACGACCTTCAAACATGTACCACAGGCAGATGGAGAAGACTGTCCATAAACACCTATCTGCTCAGTGTCCCCTCTTCCAGCAGCTTGACTCAGCCAGCCTCTGACCACCAGAGGTGGTTCCCAAATCACTCTTTGGGAATGACCAGTGGGGCTGCCAGGATACCTGGAGCTCCTCTCTCTCCTGAAATTCATATCACTGCCATAGATCCCTCCCTATGACAAGCTCCCTGGTGACATGACCACCAGCTTACGCTCAGCTTCTTCACGCCAGAGTGGGAAGATGGGCTGGATTTCCTCGCAGAAGTGAGAAGTTTCTGCCTGAACTCTGAATCCAACCAGAAGATTTAATTCAATTCTTACTGTCAAAACTACTCTAGACACCAACTTGCCAGTGAAGACACTTTGTTTCTCCTCAGGGCAGCAGGTCCATTTGTTTTCACACCAAGACCACTTGTTATCTACATTCCTCCTTTGAGAACACTTTTATGGAAAAATAAAAATTAAAAAAAAAAATAATCACTACTCTTCTGTCTCAGAGTTTGATGCAGTATAAATTGAAATGTCATTGCAGAAGCCCCTGGCAAAGCACTTCAGGAAGAAGGGCCCCAGCATTTGTGGCCTTTGCGCCAGCTGCTTTTCCATTTTGGGAAGGGTTTAAGATGGCTGGAATAGCCAGTCTCTTCCCACCAGCCCTGCATTCAAGCCGGCGTCAAAAGTTCATCTGATAATTACGCCATCAAGAGATGAATAATAGTTTCAATTCCTCAAGCTAGATTGTCTAGCTGGAGGATCCAAGTAAATCCCGTTGACTTGGGGCAGAGTTTTCTGCCCACAGGAGGGGGAAAGCAGCTCTCCTGGAGCTCAAGACCTTTCATCGGAGGTCTTCAAGCACTGATGCAATCTGGAAAGGCACAATACACCCAAAGGAAGCAGCTCCCAGAGCATCCTTACACCCTAATCTGTGCTGGAGGGGAAGATCCACCCATCCTTGGGCCCAGGTGACCCTGATACAATTTGCAGTGATTAAAAAAAATAATGATACAGTGATTAATAGCATTGCCAGGAGAGAGACTTTAGCCAAAAGTAATTTATACCTTTTTACACACCTTCTGGGACTCGGCATGAATGAAGCAGGCGGGGAACTGGAAAAGTTTAGGAGCTTATGCTTGCAGGAAACCCAGCTGCAAGTCATATTTTCAAACTGGGAATCTGGGGAAGACCTCCAGGAGCCCACAAAAGATAACTAATTCAGCGTACCTCAGACTGCTGGGCAGGGCTTCACAAAGCTGCTGGGTTATTTTCATGGTCACAAAATTGACGAGGGCTGACAACGCCGAGACTGAATGGTCTAACAGCCCTTTGGCCTTCAGCTGTGGAAGTGATAGAAGACAAGGTCCGATTTGTTTGTAGACATTTTCAGAGTGATGGGTGGCTTTGCTTGGGGATGTCTCATCCTACCCTTTAGGCATCTACACAAAGCAATTCCCCCAAACGAGCTGTTTGCTGGTGTTCTGGAGCACAGGAATTTCCAGGTAAACTTCCTGCACTGACACTGGACACAGACGCAACCCTGTCCTTTGGAAATGTCCTGGCTCCAGCTCTTCCCCTCCTCGGTACCTCAATGACTGATGCACCTTGCTTGAAATCTAAGCACATGATGGCACTGTGCTTCTGCCATCATCGGGGTATTACCTCAGCTCTCAGGAGCTTTACACAGCTCTTCTACCAGGTCTGGAGGATGCTGATGTGAAACTGTTCAAGTCAGCAAGGCATAGGCTGGCTCCAAGGGACCCAAGCTACCCCCCTGCATTCCTCAGTATTTGGGGAAGGGGGAGGTTAGTTCAGGTTTTCTTTGTATCCCAAGTGAATAGGAAATTCTTCACATTCCAAATCTCTATAAGAGAGTCCTGCTTCTAATGAAGTTTTGCTACATTTCTCTTTCTTGGCCCTCTTCAATGTAGAGAGTCACAATCGACCTGAGCTGGCGTCTTTCCAGCACTCAGGACTACTAGCATGATAAATTATAAACAACTATGGATCAGGCCACCATTGTATCTCTCAACAGTGGACCTGTTTTGTTCCAGCTAATAGTGCCGTTCTGTTGACTTTCAAACAGGCTGGAGAGAATAAAATTGTTGCAGTTTATTCCCATCCAGCTGACATTCCCGCCATGCCATCACTCACAAGTGGGGATGTGAACATTAGAAATGTAACCCACCACCCCAGACAGCCTTCAGTCCTCGCAGGGGAGGAGGAGAGGAGACTTTCCACTTCAAGACTCGGCGCTGACTCAAGCTGCTGGCAGCAAGAGCCCCAAAATCAAACTGATGGCTTAGAGAGGTAAGTAACACTTTAATTTCTAGCATACTAATCATGTTCTCAGATTACATGAGAGCTTTTCAGAGAACGAGGAGGAGAGGCAGGGATATGATTTTTGATTTCAGATAGCAGCCTTCCTTTTTCTGGCACACTGAGCTCTGCTCTTACCTTTACACTCATCAAGGGTGGTCATTTGAGCATCCTGGCAAACCAGGAGCTCCAGCCCCACAGCATGCCTGGCTCAGTCCTCCTGCCTGCATGAGCATCTCTGTCCCTTGCACCCAGGAAACCCAGGAGGACTGTGGTTTCCAAAGCAAGAGAGGACTCCACTGCCAACCAGAAGGCATCCTGGCTCCATAGCACACATACAAGGGGTGAAGCCATGATGAGCTCTGCCCCCTTGAACATCTCACTTCATTGATGAGATACTTTGCAAGGAGTCAATGCACCACTACATCATTTAGTGTCTTGGGTTGAAGACTGTTTGCCCCTTCTCTCAAGATGCTCAGCTGGGGTGTGGGCTTAGTTGTGTAGCAGAGCATCAACCAGACTCCACAGCCTCCTCATAGACATGGCTCACAGGCAGGTTAAAAAGAAAAGAGAAGGGATAGAGGTGCTACAGGGAAGAAAGTGGTCAGAAAATATAATGAATCTTCTCAGTGAGAGTCTTCTCATAGCACTGGGACTGGAAGTCATCAGAACCACAGGTATGGGATTTGGATTTAGTCTTTCTCCCTCCTGCTCCACCTTTCAGCAGCAGCAGCACACTGGTCCTCTAACAGCACATCATTTGCAGCCACAAAAGTCCACTGTCCAGTGAACTAACTCAAAGCTACCTCAACATTCCTCTGCAACAGCCAAGGATGCAGGACACCCTGTCTGTGCCTCCTGCTCCAGCAGTGCAGGAGTCACAGCCCTGGCCCTATGGCACAATAAACACTTTATCTCTAGGCCAAACCCAGAGGGTAGTGAAAACCTGGGCCTGGTGTGGATGGGAGTTTGGGGCATCCCAGCTCCAAATGATAAAACAGTTGAGGATCAAGGATTTTCTCGGCAGACCAGGGAGCGAGGCAACTCTGAGGGCAAGACCTGCCTCTTGGAAGGAACTTTATTCCCTCTGCTCCCTGGATATCAGCTCTTCCTTTTCATATTTTGCTTTTCAGTTGTATTAATTAGTACATTTTGGGTATCCAAGAGCTTCATCCATAACTCTGTGTTATCTCCTAGAAAAATTCTCAACTGTTGTTGCAAAAGGGAGCAAGAAAATTCAATCATGCATCTTCAGTGCCTGAGAGAGGAACTTGGTCCATTTACCACAAATACGATTAACAAGAGCTGTAACTTGCCTCTACTTCTGTTGCTTATTTAACCTATAACATTTTAAATACATTTACTGGCCAGCTCTCTAAACAGAAGTGAAATTTTTTTTGGCAAGCAGGGTGAGGAGAGACAAAGCCCTGGCTCTCCTGTGCTTGCACACATGCCTTCGCATTATCATTTCCTAATTTCCAAAGGCTGTGCCTGTCAGGGGACAGCCCCTCACTGCCTGCCAGGGCTGCTGCAGGCTCCTGGAGTTCACAGCCATCCAGACACCACCACGTTCAGCACCAAACACTGGTAGGTGGTATCCAGAGCAGCTGGAACTAGATTAGGCATTTTCATTTTCCTGACACTTTCCAGTAATTAAGCATTACAGCTTGCCTACGGGACACTTGAGCTGGAGTTTAGCAGACACACTCTCTCTGTCAGTCTCGAGTAGACAAAAAACTCAAGCCCTGCTATATTTTTAGGGCTTTTCTACCTAGGAAGTTTGTGTCTCAGCTGCCAAAAAGACGGCAATCTGAGCACCCACTGAGGTCAGTGTCTTGATATACTCTTGAGCAATTAGCATAACATCTAGTAGACCCAGAGACCACCAGTAGCTTAGACTCAGACCACTGCTGGCTTTCAATAGAAAAACATTTTACTGTAGAAAACCTTTTCACAAGAGGGGAACAGAGCAAGCATGACCAGAAAACCTTTCCACCACTTGTAAAGAGAAACAGGTATGTACTAGCATGAAATGCAATACAGGGTGAGAAAAACAAAGAAGTCATGTTTCACTTTTCTAATGAAATGGCGTTGAAATCTAAACGTTTGGGCACTGCACATCTATGGTTACAAAGCTACAGCTCTGATTTATATTGAGTCAAGTGCAAGCTAAAACCAGGCCTGGCTTTCTAGCTTGCCTTTGGGTGGAAATGAACATATTTGCTTTAGCGATGCACTCGGGTTGCAGATTTGTATGACACCAGCTGCTTCCATATCAAATGCTGTCCATGGAGTTAAAATTAGAGCGATCATGTTTCCTGGAGGGGTTTTGGCTGTACAGCCCACTGTCAGCCTGCACGTGGGCTCCCCAACAATGAAGAGTTCACTGCTCGGTATGAACCAGGCACACGGTACTTTGTGGAAGCCCAAATGCCACGGCTGTTCATTTAAACTAACCTTTTCTCCTCCTTGGACACAGGGAATGGCACATGTCACTGTCACAAGAGGTGTTTGTGAGAGCTTAAACAGTCCAGTTTTGCTGCTTCCTAGAGGGAAAAAAATAACTGTTAGACCAGGTGTACATTTATTTTTCATTCAAGAAACATCTGTGCAAGTTATTTAATTTTATGCAACACTTTTTGCCAGCTCAATTTTCTATGAAGTGGTTTAGATTTTGTAAAATTATTTCCCTATTAAACTTTTCAATGATGGCTTAATTTAGGGAACTTGAATAATGATGGTTTTGGGAATTGGCACTTCTAACTGCTTCATAGTCTACACCTTAGTTCTACAAACATGTCTCTAAACTACAGTGTTTAACAATATTCTGATTATTTTCACTTTGCACGCGTGATTTATGCTCCCTGTAAAAGTTCTGAGGCTGGAATAGTGTTTTACCATGTTTTACAGTGCAACAGGTAGGTCCCTGTTTTGAGCTTCATGGTGATCCTGCAGCATGTGCCATGGGATGACCACTGCAGGTCTTCCAGGCTTGGTTATATGCTGCACTCTGGGTCCCAGCAGTTTTGGATAATGACCCTGAGCCCCACTGGTGGAACCAGAGATGTTGGTATAGACTCAGACTCTCTTAGATGCCAGCAGCTGCCCCAGCTTCTCTGGTGAAGAGATCAGGGATAGACCCTGGCCTAGACATAGGACTGAGAGCAAGAATTTAAGAGACCCCAGCTCTGCCCCACTGCACAGTAGCCCTCCAGCCTCTGCAAGGCCATAATGACTGAAAATCCCCTCACCTGAGATAACTCTGCGGCTGAGGTGGCCCTGCCCCAGACTTAGCAGGAGGCAGCCAAAGACCCCCATCCTTCAGATGGTCTCCTCCCAACTCCCAGGCCATTGCATGGCATTGCAGGCAGTGATGCAGATGTTTTCACCCATCTCTGGTGACCAGCAGCTGGCCCTGCAGTTCACGTGCCCACCATAAATCCCTCAGCTCCTGGGGGAGCCACACAGTGCCAGCGTGCTGTCCCAGGGAAGGTGCCTCTGGTCAGGTCCTCACACCACCAAAGTGAGGACGTGGGGTTGTCTCCCCAGTGGCTCAGACAGACGCTCCTCTGTCAGGGGGTGAGTGAGCTAAAAACATCTCCTGGCATGTCTGTGAAACCTGAGATGGGAGAGCTTTAAATAACGCTCCCCTCCAGCAAACAGTCTCCAGGGGGATCCTGGGTCTCTTGTTCAATTGTACAAGTTTAAATCTCTCCTACTGACTTTGCTCTGCTCATGGAAGCTCTGGCACTGCCCACCCCGAGTGTTGGGGGCTCAGCATGCTGGAGAGGGGGCAGAATGGGCAGCAGCAGAGCCCCCAGCAGCAGCTCCATATGAATGTGTGCTGGTGGAGCTGAACCAGGACAAGATTTTTTTAGGCCAGAATTCACTGTGAGCGCAGACACGAGGTGATGAAGTGCAGTGATGGGCAGCCCGGAGGATTATGTGCTGCTATTCCTGTGGATGGGCTCCCCTGCCTGGGGCACAGGCTGGAAGCAGCTCTTGTGGCACTAGAGATCAGAGAAGGCACCAGGGCCAGGGCATGAAACTCAGTCACTCACCTCCATGTCCACTGCAGCCTTCTCCATCGCACAGGGAGAGCACGGGCACCTCAGGGGCTCCACATGCAGTGGGACAAGAGGGCAGGTGGGCTCAGGAGCTTTGGTTCATCTCTAGATCCATCGGCTTTGATGACATCAGGGCTAGGTGGCAGAAGCATCAGACCAGCAGTCAGGATATCCACCTGTGGGATAACAGCCCAGGGCACACTTGCGTGACAGGAGATGACAGAAGCTAGAGCAGGTGCACACTGCTTGGCGTAGCACTGGAGAAAAATATTATTCAGGCTCTGGAAAAGCTACCACAGGTTCCTATTTGATTCTGAGAGCAATGTAGCTACTGCTGTCAGTCTATAGACATCCCATTTCAGTGTGTTACCACCTGAGGATATACTTTCTCTTTATTCCTCTTCAAAACAATTTAAATCAGTTAAGAAAAAGCAAGAGGCTCTGGGACGGAAAAGACTCTTTTTCCATTTTGGTAGTTAGTAGTATAGTAATGACATCCCATGCTACGCTGGATGCTGTAGCAGTCACAATTCATACGGTGCTGTTCACAAAAATTCCTTCTTCCCGAAGGAGGAGGGACACACTCAACAGGTCTGGTCTGGGGACAGAGATCAGAACATGCTGTGTTCAGCAGAAAACACAAACGTAACGGCACAGCCCCGGGCAGCAGAAACAGCAAGTCATGGCCGGAGCAGGGGATTGCAAAGCCATGAGTCACCCAGAGTTACATGCACTGACCACACAATTCCGATCTTCTCCTAAGCCTGCTGAAATGACATATCCACATCCTTGGAAGGTGTGCCCCACATAAAGCACCGAGCTGGCTGGGCTGTGCTCTCTTCTTTGGCCCCGTTAACTTAATCCTCCTTATGACTCACAGGAGTGTCATCATTGTATTCTAGGGTGGAGAGGTTAATTTACGCG